GATAATAATAATAATAATAATAATAATAATAATAATAATAATAATTTTTGAATAATTTAAACTTTAAAAAAATGACGTCATTAACATATGAGGAAATCTGTTGCCACAGCAACCGCTTTTTTTCCGTCTGCTTTTAGAAACTTTCATCTAACAATGAAACTTCTAGCTGATAGAAATTACAAAAAATTCTCACCGGAATAATTATAATAATAAAGCCAATAATCAATCATGATTAAAACTTTTGGACAAATACAGGATATGACGTCAGGTAAGGACGACATAGCAGACAAATGACTCAGTGTGGAATGTCACAAAAACACTTCCCACTTCTCAAAAGAGAAAATATCGTAAATTTTAATATTTATAGCTATTAAAAGCAAAAAATAATTTTATAAAATACGCCGAAGTAATGATAAATCCGATCATGTGACGTCAAATGTTGATAAACAATCTGGCTGGCAACACTTATTTTTCCGGCCGGCAGATGTTTCAAATTGTTTCCCTGTTTTATCTCTAATTATCAGTGTTTAAACTATTTCAACCGTTAAAACAAAGCTTTCTTAATCGATCCTGCAGAGAAAATTCAAGTCTATCCGCAAATGAAATTTGGTAGCTTCATACACAAATCTAGTGTTTTATAAGACTAAAATATTGTATTTAGCGGACGTGTTTAAGAAACACAACGGCATAGCAGTGTGTGTTTCTAGTAAGGCATAGCATAAGAATCGGCAATACTTGGAGGAGGAGAGAAATGGCATTTACTGGAGCGAAATTTCCAAATCTGCCAACGTAACAAGCTAAAAACCGGTCTGACGCGTGCCACGCTCATAATACGCTATTAATTTACATTCCGTGAAAATAAAGCAGACAATGAAACGAAAGTAAAAGGGAAAAAAGCGCTACTAACCATGATAGTAGAAGACAGGGTTCACAGGTCGACATCTCTGACCTCGTGACATGAAACTACATGGATTCGGGGTATATACTATGTACTTACCATAGACAAGGTGAGTACTTTCGTCAACCGCATGAGGACCTATAGGTTACCTAGGCGACAGGGGGTAATAAATTGGAGACAGACAGTCCGGAGACACGAAAGGGTAGGGAGCGGAGCGCTACACCCAGGCGCTACAGACGGCATGACGGAACGGAAAACGTAACATGGTTGCCTAGCGACAGAGTTCAAGATCGGTCATTACGACCATGGGGGAGGGAAGCTGGGTGATTGAGGTGGGACCTGAGAAAGATCATAAAAATGTTAGGTGGAGATTGGGATGGGGAATAATGGACGGTGAGAACAAACGTTTGCTCTCGTTCTCAAAACAACCTCACATATCGGATATTTACACAAGTATTTAAGCATGTTTCCACTAGGATTATGTCTCAGGGATGTAAACTCAGTTTGGTTTATTGGGATTCTCGAAATAAATTCCTAGCGATATCCGAAATTAAAATCGTATCTGCTTTCTTTGCCCCTATCCTCAATGCAATTCCTTTCATAGCAGAGAATCGGGAACAGAAATAAAAGAAGTGGGGGAAAAAACTCGCCCGAGGCTTATGACGACTCATAATCCTGTCATTCATCTTGAAGATAAATGATGGAAATCAACACAACGTAGAATAATAAGTAATTTTGCTGTTCATGCACTTTCACCATTATATCCTACTCTCGCTATAAAGGACAAGTACCATTGGGGAAAGACACAATTTAGCAGCATCAACTTCACGCATAATTAATGTTGTTACAGCATTTTCAAGGAAGTAATTTAAGTTTAAACTCCGAAACTTCACTTTGCAACTTAACAGGAAGGCGTTGGTATCGAAGTCCGAATGACACTGTTATATTTTAATTCTTCATCTTGCAATCTTTACTGGAGTGTTCTCGTGTATATAACCTACAAGTAACATATATTTTAACATAAAAATTGATGTTAAAAATACACCCTTAAATTTTATTGATGCTCTTGTCCAGAATATAAATTTCTTTCTTGCTTCCTGTTTAATATTGGAATATCAAGCAAAATGTAGCCATTATTAAAATCATTTTTCGAGTTGGAGCAAGGGCAAAAAAGGGAAAGAAAAGGAAAAAAAAATGCATCTAAAAATCTGCAAGTTCCTCCGTGTCTTTAGATAGATTTATCCATCTTTTCAGAAATTTATGAGATTCGTTGGAAGAGAGTTATCCGAGCAGAAGATGGAAAAGTCTATTCAACAAAGTCACCAGAAAATCCTTCCCTAAATTTATGATACTATAACCTTAGCTTCCTACTGATACTTACGACTTACTGATTTAAAACCGTGTGATAAGTTTAAAAAATCGAATATTTTTTTTTCTTTTTTAACTCGACAACAACTATGCAGCAGGAGTTGCAAAGCACAAAAGCCAACTTTCGAGAGAATCCACTTCGCGAATAATGCAGGTGAGTAAATTGTACAAATTTAGTTTGTTCAGCTGTCCGGTATTATTTTACAGTGTATTCCTTAAAAGTTTGTGTGTGCGTATTAAAATTTTGGGGATAGAGCCCGAAATAGAAAATTTCTGCATTGCACGCACGAATGCATCTGAAAGGCTAATTTGTATATTGTCAGCGGGAAGGATATTAATCTAAGCTATTTAATATCCAGATGTTTCAGCGCATGACTGTATACAGCAGATGTTTGTATACGTAAAACGGCAACGGCCATCTGTGCTAATGGTCGAAACCGATAAAATAAAATTTGTGTTTAAAATATAAACTCGAGATGACGTGGCATTAAACTTGAGAATATAAATAAAATATGTCTCCCTGGTCGTGTGACCCGAGCAAACGAATCTAAACAGACAGGACGTACTACGATTATCGGTTGTCACTCGAGTATAAAGGAAAAGAAGTAAAAAAAAAAATAGTAAAAAATACATGTAAAATTACTTTAACGGAAAATTCGTTTCGAATTTCATGGGATAGCTTTCTGTGTTATCTTAGCAAAGTGAGTTAAAAGAGGATTTTTCCGATAAGGAAATGGTATAGTCCAATAGTTTGGTAAATGCAACGTGTGTCTAACACACCCCTTGCAAGAATAGGCAAGCCTAGTATTGACAAGAGAGATTTATAAGTCTTTGCTGCGTGAGATCCATGCATGAATCGCTTTGGGATGTTACAATGGATTTACTTGTAGTAGTAAAACACTTCCCGGCCTTACAACAAACACTAAATATATATATATTTTTTCCTTCACTAACAAACACTAGAAGTGTGTGACCTTGTATAAACGGGGGTCGAGTGACAGTACATGAAACTTCTATGGTGTAAAATTGCGCGTGGAAAAATCGTGAACCTTTCTTCTTATGCAGACAGTTTAGTTTCCTAACTGATGTAATAAATTTCCACCCCTGATTAGTGTTTCGTGCTATGTAAGGTTTCTGACTCGTTCGGGTTTCACTATCAATATTAAAGAGAAACGGCAAAAAAAAAAAAAAAAGAAATTTAATCGACCCAAAACTACCGTACAGGGAATCTTAAAATTATAAACTTGATTATTCCAGAATCTCACTTAAATTTTATAATTTTTATAGTTTCATTCGATCATTCAAATTTTCTCAAATGAACAAATATGCTTAAAACTTTACCTGTTATGCTGATTGTCGCCGCAGGTGGCGCTAATGTTCTCTCTGTTTGGTTCACCCGTCGACTCATAGATGGCACTGGTATGCTACTGTCCTTTCCGGATTGAGATAGTGCGTTTCGATTGGCTGATTGTTTAAAAGGGGACGGTAATCTAGCAAAAAGAGGGGGACGAGTTATTTTATAAATGAAAAGAATCAATAGAAACCCTTCTATAACAAGACTTAATTTAATTTCTATCAATTTCCGTTCTGGTGACGTCATTCGGTCGCGTCCTTCCTTCGTGACGTTTGGTAATGTTATCCTTCCTGGATGACGTAACTTTGTCCCCCGTCCTTGGAATCCGAAAAAAAAATAACCGGTTAACTGGTCTACACTAAACCACTTGCTCCCATATGATCTGCAAACCTGTCTTGGAAGATTAAAAGAAATTTTCCACTTTCCCCTTGAGTGAATATAAAAATTAAAAAAAATTTCCCTTTCGTCAAGTTTTTGCAGGGAAATAGGTTATTTAATAATATATTAACACGTTTTAGTGTCATTTACTGAGGGAAATTGATCGAATTTGAGAGAATTGAATTATTGTTGAAACTGATAAATAAAAGTTTGTCATTAGACATAAAACAGGAAATTTAGGGAAATTATTTTTCAGGATTTTCAGGGAAAATAGGGAATTTAGGGAATAATTTCGCTATTTTCAGAAAAGCAGTAGAAGTAATTTTTATATCATATATTTTTCACATTCTGCATAATTAAAATCATAATAGCGGATTATTCTCGTTTATTATAATTTTAAAAAATAAATAGAAATAAAACGATTTAATAGCATGAATGAGAGAATTTTTTAATTTAGATAAAGAATATTCTTAGCCTCATAAGCAGTAAAACACTACAACTTTTTTCGTTAAGGATAGAATTACTGCATCAATTAATTTATTTTTTATTTTTTAAATTGTGCGAAATTTATAGTTTAAATAATTATTTAAATTAAAAATTAACAGTTAAAAGGCATTTATATATTAAAATAACAAGAAATATTAAGAAAGAAATATTTAAAAATTTATTCTTACTTGGACATTTCTGTGACACCAGATGGAGCTAACATGGGTTTGGTAGTATTTCCGTTTCTGATGTGATTGTGCGTTGTATTGGCAGCCTTCTGGGCTTGTTTGTACCTCGAAAGACTAAAAAAGAGGCTCAGAATGTCCTTCAAACTTCCATCCTTGATATCTATACGGCATCAAACACCAGAATCAGTAATGTATTCAACCCACTACATCCTCAATTGAACTCGAAAAGGTCGTCTAACAAACCAATTATCTCTTCGAGAGATACGTGAACAGAGCCTGACCAAACTCGTTTAATTTCCAAATTAATAAGGCTCTTATACGCTGAACAGAACAAATAATTATTCCTCATTAAACCATTTTGAAATTTTGTTATTAGATTTTCTAACTGTAATCACCTCTTTCATCCATTTAATCCTTTTATAATTAAAGATATAAAGAGTTGAAATCAGTTAATCTTTTATTTTGGCGCATTTTTCAGATTAAATATTCAGTTTAAAATTTAGGGAATATTAGGGAAAAGGGATAATGTAAATTCCCTAAAACGAAATTCAAATATCCCTTTCATGAATCTATTTTGAAATTTACACAATTAAAAACGTTAAAATTTACATTATTTAACTAAAGAAAAATGTATATTTCACAAGAAATATATAAATTTTCAGATTTTTACGGAAAATTCTTTAAAATAGAATTTTCAGTAGAAAAGGGTAGGATTTTTCCCTACATCAAAATATACTTTTTATTATTTTTTTAAATAATTTGCCACGTTATAAATTAAATTAAATAATTATTCTTAAACCAAATATTTACGAAAAAAAGTATATTAATTTAATAAAAATGTATTTTTTTTAATACATTTAGATATAAACAGTAATTTGATACTTTTGCATCTCATAACAAATAAAAATGGAGAAATTTCGTTAAGAAAACACAAAAAAAGTGATTTAAAAAAATTGTTTATGTGGATTTAAAACGTAAAATTCGTGCTGAAAATTAAAAATTACATTTTTGCACAACTTTTTCGTAGGAAAGCAAGAATGAATGTTTGCAAAAGACTTTTTAAAATCTCATATAGATGCTTTACAGTTAAAACAAATATGTAATCTGCAGGAAAACTGTGACGTACAGGAAATAACTCAGGGAAAGCAAACAGCATGAGTGAAGCAAAGTTGAGGAGACTTTTAGGATGATTAGCTTGACTTTTTCTCCTCTTTTTTTGAGGAATGCATCAATTTTTTTTCGTGTTTTGTCAATAAAAACTGCAAGATTTCTCCGTTTTTTTAATCTTCGAGTGTAAACTTTAACGTTCCCACGCGCCCCTTTAAATTCTTTTTTATTAAAAGCTATTATTAAAAGGTATTAAAAAAAATAACTGCACTTACCTTTGGCAGTGATACCTTCCAGATGAACACCGAGATTACCGAGGAAGGACAAACAGGCATTGATGTTATCAATCTGCAAATAAAGATATATCCAGAAAGTAATTTGCAATTCTGTCGTCTATCAAGTAGCTAATTAAAGGCGGATGATTAGCAATGACCTGAACTGTCGTTACGAAGCGGCAGTTCATTTTTATCATCGATCATATCGCTCCTGCTCGATGCAGTTGTCGACACGTACTACTTCGATCATTTACGATAATATATCGCTTCATTTATGATTATTAACTGTATAACCAAACTCATTAATTACTAAATTCCACTTGTATACCATGTAAAAACTAATAGAACATCAGTGAATTCTCCACAGGAATAACCATACTTACCTCCCGAAATGCGCAGTTATTATAGGATTATAGGGTCTTAGCCGTCTCGAGATGGTAGCCAACGTTACGGCGCACTTAAACTGATATTTTACTTCACGGTGCAGGGGAATACTATCCAGTTCTTAACTATATTGCGCATTATACAACGATACAGCGAAAAATCATTCCTTCAAGGTATTATAATTAAACGAACCTAAACTATGCTCAGAGAAAACCGGTAAAGACCACGATAAGTCGCAAAATATCGCGTAATCCTACTGAAATTTTTAACAGTGAGAAAATTGCGACAAAATAGGATTAACTCATCGCAATTTAACAGATTAAAGAGCTTAACAGAAACCCTTCCTTTCAAACGTGAAGATTTTCAGTGGCGCCGCCATTGAGGGTCTTCTGAACTAATCGCTCATCAATCTAATAAAATGTCTAGTTTATCCTAGAAAAAATATATTAATTCATAAATTGTATTATAAAATCATTTTTATAGTTAAATATATATTTATGTTTGACTGAATCAGGAGATCGTTTAATTTAACTGCACGTTGGACCTTGAAATCTCGTGCAATAAAAATTTAGATAAGTACTTCCGCTCCTGAAATATTTCAACTGAAAAATAAACTGATACTCTTATCTTCGACACGATACCACAACCAAATTTCATGGATAATTTTCAATATTTACACAAAAATCATCACCATTTTCATATATTTCTGTGTATTAAATACAGCTGTACATCTGTAGAAATTTTAACAGTCCTAAAATATTTATACACAATTGTAAATTCAGTTAATATAAACTTATAATAAGGCATGAACATTAAAATACATATAAATTTTATAATTATTTTAGTAATAAGAAGTACAAAATAATAGAAATTTCATGCGAAAATTTCCACGAATTTAAATAATTTCCTCTATAATTTTGTTGAAAATTTTTATAATAAGCTTCTAAACAAATGTATCATTTATTAATTATAAAAAGTTATTCCATAAAAATACCAGAAGGGAGAAATAATCATATTAAATACTTTTACTCTTGCTGAAAACAAGAGAATTCTACAAAAGAATTTTTCGAAAGTGGATACTTCAAAGGAAACGAGGCGAAAAGTAAATAACTAGAAAACAAAATGGAGAAGGAATCTTGTAATTCCTGTATCAATTAGAAGTGTCCAATGAAGTTAGGGAAGTGTATACGGCTGCACCGCATCATATCGATACAGTTGACAAGTGTCAGCAGGCAGGAATCTTCTGACGTCAGGTGTCAAACGCCTGTGGAAGACGGATGTCCGTTGCTGCGAAAGGTCATGTTGCTACAAAGTTGCCTGCATCATCCGTCTTCTTCCCATGCTAACCCCCTGCTGTGTTTTTTCAACCGGAAAATTATTTTACGAACACTCAAATTATTGACACCTTTCCCACTCTCTTCAATCTATTTTCGTGTTATTTTGCTAAAGAATGGTGTCACGTATGTCTCACGTCTATTCCAAGGTGCCGATAAGTTGATAAGCCTTTTTATTTTCTACAAATTAGAAAGTAAATTTCTCCTCAGAATCGCCTCCATTTTTATATAATTTTAAGGCGATTTACACAAGTCACTAACATTAGGCGAATTAATTCGAACTTTCTACGACAGATGGCTCTGCGCGTAATGCACGAATTTCTGGTCTTGATACTAGCTTTTTCGAGTGAAATTATTGCCGAAATAATAAATTTTCCTCACTTATCTTTGGTTCGTGTCTTATTTTAGCACAGAAAAAAGTTCGCCTTGTTAGAGGCAAGTATAACACCCCTTAAGTGGGTATCCTTCGAAAGATTATTAAGCACTACAATACATAATTTTTAAGTGGGGAACCATTATACAAACTCTCTTAACTGCACGGGACCATAACCCACTTAAGAATTGACTACCACGGTAATAATTCTAGTCATTAAAGTGACAAATTACAGAGCCAAGTCTCGAAATGATGGATATTTTCATTAAAAAGTATCTCTTACTTCTTTATATCCACGACTAACCTTGACAGGTTCGTTGGTATTAAAAAAAAAGGATAATTAGAAAAGGAACGTGATGCAGAAGGAAAGGGGTCGTGAGATGAAATCACGATTTCTATCTTCCAACAAAAGAATTTTTCAACGTGGCAAGAAAAGGGATAAAGGAAACCGAAAAGTAATAGCACACATAGAAATCATTCATTTTAAAATTTCAGATATTTGTAATGCTAAATCTCCTCCTCTCTCTCTCTCGCTGCGCTTGTGTCATCGGTACTCTACTTTAGTAATCTTAGATTTTTTCGAGTGAATATCGTCTATTGTAGCCACGAAATGACTTTTTCCCCCTTAAAAAGAAATACAATTCACACTTACGCTATTAGCAACCCCCTCAGAATGTTGCTATAGCAATAATCACTTTAAGTTTTATGGAGTCGTTCACGCTATTGTTGTGTTATTATGTTGATAAGATGAGCACGTTGTCGAGTTTATCATGAAAGGTAAAAATAAATAAATAAATAAAATAAATCTTTACGTGTAGAATAGAGCAATAAAATTTCAGCTAGCTACTACTTAATGCCTTTTAAATTTAGCTAAAGTGATTTTTAAGTGAAAATTCCTTTCAGAAATAGGGGAAAATTCCCCATTCGCCTCTTCCCACCTATCTGTTCTCGTTTTTTTCTGAAACACCTTTCCGTTCACAACTTTTCTGTTACCCACCTTTCTACCCACAAACTACAATTTTGCCAGGTAAATAACTTTCAAATTCTCGAGAATCTAGTACTGTGTCTCCCTTCGAACAATTATTAAATGGCATGGGAACGAAAACACAGAAAATTCTTCATTCCATCTTACCAGATAAAGGGAAAAAAAAAGTTATAAGACAGGCAACTACATCGGGAATCGAAACTAGTAGCAAAATCGATACGACATGATATAGGAAAACGGGGAAGTAATGCTTTCCCCTTTAGTTAAGTTCAATTCTTCTGTCTAAGTATCCCTAACAGGTTTGGAGAAGAAGACTTAAAAACTACAGATAACATTAAAAAAATAAAAGAAAATATACCTTAATGCATAATATAACTAAGTCTATTCATATAGAAATAGTATCATCTATCATATTCACGAAAAAGTGTTTTCATATTCAGAAAATCGATTTAGAATAACGTTATTGTTAGCAGCTGATGCATCAAAAAAGGAACCAGATACATATTATAATTTATAATTTGAGAACCTGATCGCAATATCTTCTTATATAAACTCAGTTGGATTCGGTAGATTTATAGAGCACGTGCTTTATTCTCCCAGTTTTATTTATCGCCAGCAAAAAAATCCATATTCTCCATAAGTCAAAATGGAGATAAATTGCTAAATAATGCTACAAACTTCGTAGTTGTTTCTTTTTTTTACAGCTTGATGTAACGTACTCTATAGTGCGTGTTTAAATTTGTAAAAATATATGAAATTAAATTATAAAAATAAAAAATAAAAAACTTTTGAAATAAATAACGTATTGATACTCCAGTTACTAAACTCAAAAGTAAATATACCGCTTGCCAATATAAATTTTAATTTCGTACATTCTTCGAAATCAAGATTATTTCTCACAAACATTTAAATTTAAATCATTCGCGCTTGATAAAAATAAATTATTTCGCACGTGACTGAAATATAAATAATTTTTTTTCATTGTTGAAATCGACAATATTTCTCACGTGTATCGAAATCGACAATATTTTGCACGTGTATCGAAATCGACAATATTTTGCACGTGCATCGAAATCGACAATATTTTGCACGTGCATCGAAATCGACAATATTTTGCACGTGCATCGAAATCGACAATATTTTGCACGTATCGAAATCGACAATATTTTGCACGTGCATCGAATTCGACAATATTTTGCACGTGTATCGAAATCGACAATATTTTGCACGTGTATCGAAATCGAAATAATTTAAATGTGATCGTAATTGACAAATAGACACGTGACTCGAAATAATTCAGTGCACGTGTTTGAGTCGTTTTTAAAATGCCGCAGATAGCTGATTAATTCAACGAAAACTATAATTTATAGAAATTTATGATCTAAGCGCAAGAACATCAAAATATAGAAAATACAAATTGTAATACAAAATGACAAGTGTTAAAATATAAACTAGCCACAAGTGCATTATAACATATCACGAAAACTTTTAAATTTAGCGACACGCGCAAACCACATAATTCTACAGAATACAATGTACACATTCACAGATAATATCTAAAATGTTGGTAATAAAAGTGGGTGAATACATCCATTAAGTTTTAACATTCGCACAACCTACGTACAAACGACAAGTAACTCATAGTGTGAGGCATATTATTGCTAAATAAGTAAAACATTAATGCACGTTTGATTAAAAATGTTTCTTTAAAAAAAATGCGATTAAGAGCAATCTGGAAGGGAAAGAAAAATTGATGCACGTGGGGATAGTAAGTTACATTAGCACTAAACAGAAGTATCGGCTATTAAGTAAAGAATTTACATAAATTAATCTTTCAAGTAGAGTAATTTCAAAATAATATCTGACGAGAATACGGGAGGGAAAAAAGAAAGGAAATTTACTTCTAGCTCATAATAAAGAGGGAAAAAAGAAGCACAAAAACTTCCAATTAAAGAAAGCAATCAACCCCCCACCACGTGTGGAAGAGAATCTAAAAG